CCCAGTACTAAAGCCTCTCCCCTACTCCGCCCCCCCCCCCCCCGCCCCCGCCTTTTGGCAGTATTGTGGATTGGACTCAGAGCCTCATGCCTGCTAGGTAGATGCTCTTACCACTTGAGCCACTCTGCTAGCCCTGCCCTTCCTAGCTTAAATTTTCTATTTTATTCTGTTCTGTTTTTTGCGGTGTTGGGGGTGGATCCCAAGGCCTTACACATGCTAGCTCTACCGCTGAGCATCAGCTCAGCGCATTCCTAATTTCTAACTTGGGTCCCTCTCTCCTGTCCCGTGTCTTTTTCCCTCCCTACCTGTGTCTTCCCTACCCTCTTTGAGCCTCTTAGACCAGGACATTTTTGGGTTCAGATGCCAACCAATCCTAGCATCTGACTGGTGGAAAAACTGATTTTGTCTTCTCATTCAGAACACACCTAGCATGCCGGCCTGAACTACAGTTTTTGGGTGTAATGCACTGGGGTTTGAACTCAGGGCCTCACGCTTGCTAGGCAGGTGCTCTACCACTTGATCCACACCACCACCTCCTGAATTAGATATTTTTGATTACTGTAATGCTCCATTCTATGACAGAAATCTGTGACTGACACCAAAAAAAAAAATATATATATATATATATATAGTACCATGGGATAGGAAGTCCGAATTTATGTCTGTTGCATGATGGAGTGGGGGGTCTGAGGTTGTCTGTTGAGGCTGCAAAGTTGAGACGCCCCCTCCCCCCGCCCCGCCCCATTCACTAAAATGCTCATTAGAGCAAAATAAGTAATCTGGGGTGTCTAACAGCCCCACCACTCCTCCTTAGACGGAGAGGGCTTCTAACTGGGACAGGTAAGGTAGGAGTGTTTGCAGGAAGGATCAACACACCAGGGTGACTCAGAAACTGCTCAGTAAACACAGTGGATTAAAGGGGTTTTGTTGAGACAGAGAAGGTGGACAGAGAGAGGCAGAGTTCAAATTAACCGACAGTAAATCAAGACTCAGTTGCAGAAGGGAAAACTCTGGGCCCAGTCATTTAAAAAGTTGAGCTGATTTAATTTTTTCTCATTAGAAAAGCAATCTCAAGCTCCTTATTAAAAAAAAAATGTGGAGAATTTAGAAAATACCTAGGTCAGAGAAAGGAATAAATCCCACACATCTCCAGAAAAAATCCTTGCCAGGCCCTAAGGACAGCCCTCTTCACTTTGTCCGGCTCTCAAACACACAGATACAAGGGAATTGTGATGTAGCAGGAATTAAAACTACTCAGCTTTGAGTTAGATTTTACAATTTGTAACTGCATTCCAAAGATCTGGACCCATAGGTGATTGATCGCTTGTCAGGCCAGCAGCATAAATTTTAGAAATTAAGTCAAAGTGTAAATTTATTTTTGGGAAGTTGGGGGATACTCAGGAGAAGAAAAGTTTCCTTGGCTGTATTCCTATCAGTAATGGCCCTCCAGTGAGGGCCCCTCCGTGCCTGGTTTTGCTGCTGCCCCCTAATGGGACAAGAAGATTGGCGCAGGCAGTGAAAGAGTTCTTTACCCATCTCTCAGTTCCACATCAGGGAGTTGACCAACCCTGGATCAGAAATGTTACATTGTTGCTGGTGGTACTGTGTGGTGAGGGCTACAATGGTTCTGCCCTTAGCTAAGCATACAGACTTCCTCTTGCAATTATTCTCTAAACAATACGATTTAGCAACCATTTATATAGCATTTATGTGGTCATCTGCAGGTGATCCAAAGATGACAAAGGATGGGTAAGGTTGCATAGGTGTTGTCAAGTCTGTATTCATGGAGGAGGGTGTCATGGAGCTAAACCCCCACAGATACAGGGGGATGATCATATCTCAACTCGTTGGAATAGTGCATGTTATCTAGTTGACTAAAGGCCAAGACATAATGAAACTTGAGGCTAGTGGCCTCCCCAGTGTGCCAGGGCTCAGCCACAAGGTTGGTTCAGCATCATGTTTTGTGGAAGTGCTGGGTGCCAAGTGCTAGGGAGACACTCACACCTGGAAAGTGGTTAAGAGCTGGTCCAACCCATTACCACTGGCTGTGTGCTGGTCACGGGTTGTCTAGAAATCAGTAGTGTTTGTGTGTGACCTCTCGGTGCCACTTCCACTTACTGCTGTGATAACCAGATTTAATCAGTGCACAAATAGGGTAGTGCCAGACCTTGTGGAATGTATTGAAGTGAGTTTTTCAACAGAAATGATCCGTCTGCACAGCTCAAGCAGTGAAGTGCCTACCAAGCAAATTCGAGGCCCTGAGTTCAAATGCCGGTGTGGCCAAAAAAACAACTATCTGAATGCTTTGGAAAATCTCAATGGTAATAAATTACTTAAAAATACATGACAATAAATTATGTTAAAAGAATACCACGTAGAATATTGAGAGTTGTAAAAATGTAGTGTTATGAGCTCAGATTATTTTGGAAGTGTCTTTTTTTTTTTTTTATCATGAACATGTATAACAGCTTTAGTTGTAAAAAGAAAGAAGACAGTCCAGATATCCATAGACTGGTGAATGGTTAAACAAACAGTGGTATGTCTGTCAAGTGGAGTACTACTCAGCAATGAACAGGCATCAACTATATATAACACTCAAAAGCATTATGCTAAGTTTAAGAAAAGGACATATAGCATGGTCTCATTTCTTTGCCATTCTGTAAAAGGGGAGCTCTAATGGTAGATATCAGACCAGCAGTTGCAAAGGGTAGGGCTGGGGTAGAGGACTTTGGGATGGTGGAAATGCTCTGTTACTTCACTGTTGGACTGGTTACATGACATTCTGTCAATTTTCCAAACTTCAAATTATAAGCTCTTTTCATAGTAAACTTTTCTATACGTCATTTCATCTCATACAAACTGGACCTTAAAAATACCTGTGAATCTAAAGCACGAATTACATTATCAATCCCTTTCTCCTCGTGATGCCAGCTCTGAGTCTCACCTCACCCCCAGAGGTAGTGAAGGTGGAAGAAAATCCATGCAAAGTGACACGAAGTGGCAGAGAGAACGAGGCAGAGAGGGCAAGGAAGCAAAAGACCCCAAACGAGCGAGAAATCCCAGTGCGCACTGCATGAATGGCTTGCTAGGGAAGAGCGGGGTACCTGAGGCCCCTTCCCTGCTCTGGGGCAGGTGGGATTTGAACCTTCCCCTTAACATCCGTATGGTAGATAAGCTTATCACAGATACCAGTGACCGAAGACAACTTTGTGGTGCTGAGAATTTGACCCATCTGCACAGCGCAGGCCTGCGCGCTTACTCACGGGCGTGGACTGCCTGGCCCCGACCCACCTTCCGCCTTCATCTCCTGCTGTCCCTTGCTTTGTTATGATGCTTTGCATCCAGGGCAAGGAGCCCTACCCGGCCTTTAACCACTGCATGGGATGTGCTGTGTCCCATCTGTTCCTCACCACCTCCTGTCTGTCCTTCCCTCAACTTCCCTGCCGTTTGCTGATCCCCCCATTCTTCACTCCTTCATCTCTTGATTGTTTCCTCTTCCCTCCAGCAGAATTCGAGTTCCACCTGGTGTTCAGTACATACAGCTTGAATGTGGGGTGAATAACCATGCCTGCATGGTTCTAGGGCCTTCTTCAAGGGGAGTCCCCCACTTCTACTCCCTTTGCAAGCACCTGTCTGGCTGTCCTCACTGCATGGTGGGCTGACATTTGAAGCCTGGAGCCAAATTCAGCCTTCGCTCGTTTTCACAGGACCCGAGAACTAAGAATGGGTTTTATTTTTTTAAACGTAAAGATACAGAAGTCTGTTGGGAGAGTAGTTGTTCGAAGGACATTTTTTTTTTTTATACTCACAGTTGGGAGGCAGGTATCCTACCACTTAAGCCACTCCAGCAGCCTGTTTTGTGAAGGGTTTATTTAGAGATAGGTTTCTTGAACTATTTGCCTGGGCTGGCTTCGAACCGAGATCCTCCTGATCCCTGCCTCCTAAGTACCTAGGATTACAGTGAGCCACCAGCCAATTTTTTTTTCTTGGCAGTACTGGGACGTGAACTCAGGACCTTTGCTTTCTAGGCAGGTGCTCTACCACTTGAGCCACGCCCCAGCCCTTGTTTCTGTTTCTTATTAGCATGTTTCAATAGTACGAGGATATTTAACTGTGATAATTCCAGTGTACTTTGAACAAGTTCATGCCCTCTATTATATTCCTTGAACTCCCTTTCCTCCTCCCCACTTTTTAGGCAGTGTTTGATGGGTTTCATCTTTCGTCTTTGAATTCCTATTAATTTTATTTTCTTTTGGTGGTACTGGGGTTTGAATTCAGGGCTTCATGCTTATAAGGCAGGTGCTCTACCACTTGAGCCATGCCTCCAGCCTGTCTTAGTAATTTTTTTTGATTTTTTTGGACTCTTATTTTTAAATTCTAAACTCTGGAGGTAGATGTGGGCATGAATCCTGCACTGATCTGCTGTAACTCTGAGACTTTGGGGGACAGTGACACTTGGCTGACCTGACTTTCCTTGTGTGAAAACAGGCAATGAGAATATCTCCCCTGATGGCTACAGTGAGGGTTCAGGGCCACCATCCATGTCTGTACTGAGCTCAGCATAGAATTAGAGTTCAATCCAAATAAACATTCAGGAAAAATTAGATAGTCTGATCATAATCCTATAAACCAAACTGCATAGCTATTGTAGGCAAAAAGTAAGTCAGTCATTTGGGGTTAGCATCTTTTTTTTCAGGTGGTATAGAAAATTCAGAGTTGACTTTCCCAGTTGGATCTGGATCTTGCTCCTCCTGGTGGTGATTTAGAAAGGCTTTTGTCACTGTTGGGACAGGCATTCTTTCTTGACAGCATAAGTTACTCCCTTTGCCCCATCTAGGGAGGATGATGGTTTTGCAGTCATCACTGCAGCAGGTGAGCCTTTCCTTGGGGAGGCAGGTGATGCTGCTGGAGGGTGTGTGTGCACCTGGTGTGGCATGCGCTGCTGCGGCCGCTGCAGAGACATGCCGAATTGAAATGAACTGAGACCTGTTGCTTTGCAGGCACGATAAAGGTGAAGAGCTCCAGCATCCAGGTGGGAGACCTCATCATCGTTGAGAAGGTGGGTGGAGGCCCGGAGCTCGCCCACGTGGGCTGCTGTGTGGATGTCAGTGGTTGAAATAGGCTCCACCTCTTGGAGCCTGATGTCACTTGTGCATCAGGCCAGCAATGCAATGATACTTTTTGGGACTCTAGCCAGTACCTTTGAGGAGAAAAAAATCTCTTTCCCGTGAGACAGGCACAAAACATTTTTTCAAGGTGTATGTGTGCTGGGGAGCCAGAAACTCTGCTTGCAAACACAAGTATACTTTTTGGTATACTGCTCCATGTGTGTGTTTATTTGTTTGTTTATTTATTTGCAGTACTGGGGTTTGAACTCAGGGCTTATATCTCAAGATAGGATATTGTGAACTATTTGCCCAGGCTGGCTTCCAAACGTGATCCTCCTGATCTCTGCCTCCTGAGTAGCTAGGATTACAGGTGTGAGCCACCAGCGCTGTTGTGTTTATTATTTTTTGTTTAGAAAAAAAATCAGCATAAAACCTTTCCTAGAAGTCTGCTTGCTTCATTGACACTTAAAAATATTTATCTAATTTACCTTTGGAGCAATTTTAGCTTCGTTTCCTGACTCAAACATTGGGCCTGCCAAACCATTTTATGAGGAGCAGAGGTGAAGTGTAACCCGAGAATAGTAAAAAGTTCAAAATTGCATTTTTAAAAATACTGTGTTATGTTTGTTACTTCAGCAAACACATCTCTTTTTACTATGTGTTTGAAAGGTGTGAGGTTTGGGACATAGCCCTGGAGAGTCTTGGAATAATATTTGATTAGAAAAGGTCCTGTCCTGGTTGTTTCTGTGGGAACTGAAATCACACTCTTTTAAAAGGGTTAAATCCAGGAACTGAAGGTTGATTCGAGGGAAGCAAAGTCCTTCAGTGACAGCTCAGACCCACACAACCCCCCATGTTGTGACATGCTCTTCTGTTCATAATTAGGCCGGGCTGCTGTTGCCTTCCCTCTTTCTGAGAATGGCTTTTGTCACTTTCGGCTTGACTTGGCTTCCTTGTTGAAATCCCACTGAAAGCCAGGCAGAAACTGGACACTTGGTAGAAGCAGAAAGCACGAGTAGTGGCTTTGTTTTATTTAAAAGAACATTCAGGCTTGGCACCTGTGGCTCAGACCTGTAATCCTAGCTATTTGGGAGGCTGGGGTTGGGAGGAGGACCATGGTTCAAGGCCAACCCAGGCAAATAGTTCAAGAGATCCCCATCTCCAAAATAATCAGAGCAAAATGGACTGGAGTTGTGGCTTAAGCATAGAGCACAGTGGAAAGCCCTGAGCTCAGACTCCTGTCCCACCAAATAAATAAATTATAATTCAACTTAGTTGAATGCTTCCCATTTCTCTCCTTGAAATTTTATTTATTAATTTTTATTTATTTTTTTGCGGTACTTGGGTTTGAATTCAGGGCCTCACACTTGCTAAGCAGGCACTCTACCACTTGAACCAGGCCCCAGTCCCAGAGTGTCCATCTCCAGCGTCCACAGGCAGTCTGGAGAAAGGCCAGCTGTGGGGCTTCCTTCACCTCTGTCCTCTGGCTGGGATTTTAGGAGGTGAGGGTTGGATTTGCCAGAACATGGGTGCTCTTTCCAAGGTGAGATGGTGCATAGGAGTTAGTAAGGCACCAGCAGTGCACAAGGTTTTCAGATTCAAGACAAAGTCAACCCCACATTTGTCTCTGACAAAGGCAGAACGTAACAGAGGGCTGGGCTCTGACTCGAACTGTTCACAGTGTGTCTTCCTTTTCATTCCACAGAACCAGCGGGTCCCTGCGGACATGATCTTCCTGAGGACCTCTGAGAAAAATGGTAACATCTGAGATCAATTTGGGAAATAACCATTAACCTTTCAGTAATTTGGTGAAATAATCGTTTGAAAGTCTTACAGAAGTAGGTATCATTTTGGAGCCATTGGAGGTGAATCAAAAACATCCTTTCGGCAGTAGACTTTTACAATTAAGAGTGGTTTTGGTGTTGGCAGGTCAATAGATTTAGTTCATTAAAACCACAGAGTTATGCTGGGTGCCAGTGGCTCACGCCTATAATCCTAGCAACTCAGGAGGCAGAGATCAGGAGGATCATGGTTTGAAGCCAGCCCAGGCACATAGTTTGAGAGACCCTATTTCGAAAAGACCCATCACAAATAAGGGCTGGTGGAGTAGCTCAAAGTGTAGGTCCTGAGTTCAAGCCCCAGTACAGCAAAAAAAACCCACACAGAGTTACTTGGAGCCCCAGTGACAGAAGTGTGGTGACGTCCCTGGGTTTTAGTTTCCCACTCTGGCTCTGGACTGCACTGGTTTCCTCTTCAGGAGTTGGTGGGAAGAGACAGTGTGTCTAAAAGACGCAAACAGAAATCCTGTCTTTGGAGGTGGCCACAGGAGACATGTTGAGGACACGGGCAGTACAGAAATCAAGGTGGGAAGGAGCCTTTTCTACCCTGTGTTGAGATGGCACCCCCACTGCACCCACTGACTTCTAGCCCTGGTGTTTGCGGGAGGGGATCCTGGGCTGTTTCTGTTACCTCCCTGGGTGGTTGCCATCCTTCTCGTTTCTATTTATACTGTTCTAAGAAAGCAAGATGTTTTCTTCTTGCCTATCTGGCTCCTCTGGAGATGTTTGGACATCTGAAAACTTTGCATTTCTCTTTTCTTGAGGTTGCAGGGGCCTCTTTTATTATGAGTAAAATTTTTTACTACTAATATGTTAAGTAGTCAGGAGGGGGTAGAGGCTATATGTTAAAGCACTGTCCCTTAAAATGTTTCTCTTCTTTCTTTTTTTTTAAAAATGTAGCAGTGTCCTTTAAAAAACACCACAGCTTTGTCCTCAAGTCTTCTTGTGTCCTCTTCAGGAAAAGCAGAACTGTGCCTCAGGGCCCCGACACGCTGTCCTGTCTTAAGTGACAAAGACACAATTAAGCATCTTTTGACTTAGTAGTGCTCAGGAGTCTTAATTGTAATGTCAGTGAAGTGAACACATTCCCTACCTTAGAATGAATTATGTGGCTTGTATGTCACACTGAAGTGTATGTCTTGATTGGGTGTGGTGGTGCACATCTGTAATCCCAGCACTCAGGAGGCTGAGAAAGGAGGATTGTGAGTTCAAGGCCAGCCTGGGCTAACAGTGAGACTCTATGTCAAACAAATGAACAAACAAAAAAGAAATACATGTCTGTAAAGCATGCAAGCCAGTACAGCTTGAGTGACCCTTATCCAAAATGCTTTTGAAACTAGAAGTTGTTTGGAATTTGGATTGTTTATATGTTTGCATGTACACAATGAGGTATCTTGGGGTATCACCCAGGTCTAAACACAAAATTAATTTATGTGTCCTACACACCTTATTCACACAGCCTGAAGGTCATTGTGTGCAATATATTTAGTAATTTTGTGCCTGAAACAAAGTTTCATTGTGTGGGATTTTTCACTTGTGAAGTCATGTTGGTGTACAAATAGTTTTGAAATTTATCTTGGTGGGACTAGGGTTTGAACTCAGGGATTTGTACTTGCAAAGCAGGCACACTATCACTTGAGCCATACCTCCAGTCCATTTTGCTCTGGTTATTTTGGAGATGGGGTCTTGAGAACTATTTGCCCAGACTGGCTTTGAACCTTGATCCTCTCAATCTTAGCTTTCCAAGTAGCTAGGATTATAGGTATGAGCTCTGTGGATTTTTGGATTAGCCATGCTCCCCCTGTAGTACCAGCAGACACTGGCACAATTGGTCATTTCCAGGGGTCAGCCCTCTCCTGGGCTTTGCATGGCTCAGCTCTTGAGGCTCTGAAGGGTGAGTGGTTATTTTCTCCTCCTTAACACACAAGGAAAGTGAGATCCACAGAGAACCTGCAACCACTTAGGCATTAAGCCAGTAATGGGCAGAGCCTGGATCTGACTCCAGGTCCTGAGAAAGGGGCTCATGATGTCTCTCCAGGATAGCCTTGGAGGCTGGTCCCCCTGTGCAGCCATCTCCATTACCCCACTGAACTTCTCGGGACTGCCTTTCTCCCCATTTTACAGACTAGCTCAGCAAGGTTAAGAAACCAGCCCAGGATCCCACAGTGAGTGAATGGTAGAGTGAGGATTTTTTTGTGTGTGTGATACTGGGACTTGAACTCAGGGCCTTCATCTTGACCCACTCCACCAGCCTATTTTTGTGAAGGTTTTTCAAGATAGGGTCTTGTTGAACTATTTGCCTGGGCTGGCTTTGAACCTCCATCCTGTTGATCTCTGCCTCCTGAGTAGCTAGGATTATATGCGTGAGCCACCGGTGTATAGCCTGGAGTGAGGATTTAAACGCTCAGTGTTTTGACCCCCCAGGAGCTTATGGAGGAAGAAAGGAGAAGGAAATTTCTTTCTTTTTTGAGTTGCTGACCATCAAATGGGCTGTTTTTGCAAGGACCAGAACAGGAGCTGCCCAGAGCTGTCAAAGAAAGGATTGTTGAATTCAAGAGACTAGACAGTATCCAATTTCCCTCCCCAGGGTCTTGCTTCTTGCGCACAGATCAGCTGGATGGCGAGACGGACTGGAAGCTGCGGCTCCCCGTGGCCTGCACACAGAGGCTCCCCACGGCTGCTGTGAGTGGTTTTTCCTGCAGAAGTGTACCTGGCAAGAGCAGGTCACAGCGGTGCTCTCCAACTCAGATGCCCTTGGAGACCAGATGAGGGATGTGAAGTGCGAGGTGGGGCTGGAGGGGGACGGCAGGGAATCTGAGCATTTGCCAGTTCCCATTTGCAGGGCCATGCCAAGGGCAGATCTTGTGTGCAGGGAGCGAGTGCTTGAGAGAGAGACTGAAAACCGTGAGACCTTGGTAAGCTGCATGGCAGAACTTGAGCAGGGAGGCCGTAGCTCTACATGGTGTCCCTCTGCTCACACCTCCAAAGGCTTCTCGTCCTCCTGGGTGGCTCCTTCAGCCCACACGAGCTCGGGCTCTGACCTCACGGTGCTCCCTCTCCTCAGCCCACTGGCCTGTTGGTCACCTGTGCATCCACCTCGGATACTCTTGCCTGCCTGAGTCATCCTGGCTGGGCTTTGTGCAGTTTCCTTATTTTCCGATCACTCTTACGTGGTGTTTACACTCCAGTCACCTCTAGGCATTAACCCCACTGGAAGCCACCTTCCCCCCACCCATATGCTCCCAGTACCTAGGGTGGGGGCTCCCATAGGGTGCAGACTGTCTACATGGATGGCCCCCACAGTTGGTCCAAGGTAATTTAAGTGTGGAGACACCAGCTTGCCCCACCAGTGGTCTGGAAGACTGAAGTGGAACCTAGCAGGTTTCCCATGCATAGGTCCGTGTGTCAGTGCTGTCTACTAAACAGCAGCGGGCAGGGGGGTCTGTGTCTCCATGAAGCCAATGCTACAGTGGTCCTGGCCACACATTCCTGATTTTCCATGGATAATAGAATGTGGAATGGCACCTTCATAGCTGTTAATTTTAAACTAGGAACTTAGGAGCATTGAGTTTTTAGCTGCGTTTCCGGAGCCTCTAGAAACCCGGGAGGTGGAGCTAAGGTAGGGGCACACTAGTTTGAGCTCTGCCTGTGTTTTACTCTGTGGTAAGAGGAAGGAACCCTGTCCTGACCATGCTTTGAAGGACTGGTCCAGAGCCTGGGAGCGACGGTGGCAGCATATCCAAGCACACCCTGTGTTTGTTTCTTTGCATTGTTTTGGAAGCACTAGCCAGTTCAAGAAGCACTGCCTTTGCTCCTCGTCCTGCCCAGGGTTGGGCTGGTATTCACAGGTGGGGAACTGGGCTGAAGGGATTCTACTGTAGAACAGCATTTTATTAAATTTTAGATTAAAAGGATTATATGGAAAGATTATCTGAGTGGTACAGGAATATATTCTTGGTCACAAAAGCCAAATTGGAAAGCTATGGAATCAAAGTGGCAAGCCCTGCTCACAGCCTCTACCTCACATCTTACCTTCTTCCCAGAGGGATCATGTAAAGTAGGTGGTGATCTTTCTTAGTGCACATGCAGACTTGTTTGTGGGAGGTGGTTTTACATAAACAGGATCAGGCTGCATGTGTTGGTCCTACAACTTCTTCCTCTCTATACTGGGTGCATTTCTGAGCCTTAGCAACACACAAAGGCCACAGTGCAAACACCTGCTAGCTAGTTATATCTGGAGTGCAGGCCCAGCCAGAGGGGTGGCCTGTGGCCTCCACTCAATTCCAGACTGTATTTGCTCCTGGTTTGATTGGCCCCACCTGCCTGACTGCCTGATTGTTTTTGGAAGACAGCTCAGAAGCCCAGATACTCATGTGAATTACTCAAAAATTTCTTCCTTCCTGGGGCCAGTGGAGTGGCTCAAGTGGTAGAGCGCCTGCCTAGCAAGCATGAGGCCCTGAGTTCAAACCCCAGTACTGCCAAAAAAAAAAAGTTCTTCCTTCCACTCTCCCTTCCTTCCTTTCATTTTTCTTCCTTCCCTCCCTTCCTGTTTTTCCCCTTCTCTTCTCTGCTTTTCCCTTCCCTTCCCCCTTCCTCCATGCATGGGAGGTTGTGTGCACACAGTTGTGCCCCCTTTCCTCAGGAACATGCTCCCTTGGTGGACGACTGAAGCCACACACAGTACTGGACCTCACATATACTCTGCTTTTTCCTGTGTTGTGCACACCTACCTATGGAGATGTTTCATTATCAGTTAGGCAAGCCAGATGTTCATAACCACTAATAAACAGAACCATTAAACAATATACCATAATAAAAGTTGGATGAATGTGTGCTCTTTTTTCTTTTTTTTCGGTAGTGCTGGGGTTTTTATTTATTTATTTGTTTGTTTATTTGTTCAGTGCTCAGGGCCTTGTGCTCTCTGGGCAGGTACTCTACCATTTGAACCATACCTCCAGCCCTTTTGCTTTTAGCTTGTTTTTAGGTAGGGTTTGCCCCAAACTTTGATCCTCCTACCTCTGCATCCTGAGCAGCTGGGATCAAGATGTGTGCCACCATGCCTGGCCTGTGGCCTCTCTCTCAGAGTCCAGACATACTGATGATTTCGGACTGTGGTTAAGCATGGGTTACTGAAAGGGAAGTTGCAGATTGGGGGACTGCTGCACGCAGGGCATTGTATTAATCCATGGTTAGCTCCTACCCACCTGGGCCCCACTGTATACTTTCTCTGGGGAACTTTGGGTGGTGTATGGCTTCAGTCCCTCTTCCGTCTCTGGACTTTCTGCTTCTGGATTTTGCATCTGCTTACTGTTCTCAACCTTTCCTGCCTCCTGGGCGTCACTCCTGCTCCATTCCTGCCTTCCCTTTGCTGTGCTGCCCGTCACTTTCCTCTTCCTTTCTTCTATTCAGTGAGGATGGCTAGTCCTCCTCTCCGTGCCTGTCTGTGCCTTTGCAGTCTGCTTTGAGATTTCATTGTGCAGAGGTTTCTCTTTTTCTGTATCTCCTAAGTTTTGCTTTTTTAAAAAAAATTGTGGTAACATATATATCATAAAATTTACTGCCTTAACCCTATTTAAGTACATAGTCCAGAGCATTAAATCCATATACTCTGTTCTTCTGCAACCATCACCCCTATCCAGCTCCAGAACTCTTTGTCTCTCCTCCTTCCCTCAGCCGCTGGCAACCATCATTCTGCTTTCTGTCTCTGTGGCTCTGACTATCTGGGGACAGCATGTAAGTGGAGTCATACAGTGTTTGTCTTCTCTGTGACTGATTATTTCACGTAACATAATTTTCCTAAGGTCCATTCTTGTAGCATGTGTCAGAATCACCTCCCCCCACCTTTTAAGGCTGAGCAATACCGCATGAGATATATCCATTGTGTTTGTCCATTCATCCACAATGGATGCTTGGGTCTCTGTACCGGCTGGCCTTTGTGAACAACACATAGGGGGTACAAATATTTCTCCCAGTCCCTGATTTCAGTTCTGTTGAACACACCAGAAATGGAATTGCTGGGCTGTGTAGTATTTCTACGTTTAGTTCTTTGAGGGAGTGTTACACCCTTCTGCACACAGCTGCACCCTTTTACATTCTCACCAAGAGCCCACGTGTGTTCAGCTGCTCTGTTTCCTCACCAGCACTTGTTGTTTTATGCCTGTGTATTTCTACATGGATGTCCTTATTGTTTTTTCAGCCTTTCCTAGGGCTGTGCACACAGTAGGTGTCCAACAACTATTTGTAGAAAGAGCGAGTTCTGTGGGTACGGAGATCTTGTGGACCCAGGCTTAGCTGAGGGGATCTGTTCACTTCGAGGGTATTCACAGCCAGGTAGTGTCACCTGTATCTTGCCAGGTGAATGCAGGTAAACAGATGTTTGCATGTCAGATGCTCTCAGGGTCTTGAGATAATCATGCACAGCAAGTCCCAGACTCACGTACGGGAAGATTTTCCTCTCTTTTCCACCTGCCCTGTACTTTTGAGAGTCTGCTTGGGAAGCACAGTTGCTTTCAAAGAAGAGCGGATGCCTCCTGAAACCTTGCTGACCAGTGGGCTGGCTTTGTTCTAACCCGGGTTCCCTGTTGGACAGGACCTGCTTCAGATCCGAGCACACGTGTATGCTGAAGAGCCAAACATTGACATCCACAACTTCGTGGGAACTTTCAACAGGGTAAGCAAGCCTTCGTAACAGCTCTGTCTCAGCCTGTGGTTGTCATGGGGCCTGTGACCAGCATTGCTGGTCCTCTGGCTGGGCATGCTTTCCTGCCACATGGGGCTGAGCTTTCTCACAGAGACCCTGCCTTGTCAAACCAACCTGAATTTTCTCCCAGCTTCAAAACAGCTTGAGTTACATAGTGGCGAGTGTATTGCATTTAATGTTAGCTCTGCTGTCTAAGATGGTTACTTTCTGTCTTCTCCAATGGGCGGTGTTTTCTTTTGTTCATACAAATCCAGTTTTGCCATTTTTGTCCCCCTTTTTTTTTTTAATTGAAGGAACTCAGGGCCTCATGCTTGCAAGGCAGTCTTCAGCCAGCCCCCATTTTTGGAATATTTAAGCCACTCTCAGACCTTTCAGAATAAAAACTGAATTTGGGTTTAAACTATTTTTAGGCATATGAAATAATTTATTAAACCAAATTAAATTGTCTGGGATCGTTTTCTCTAAGCCATAAGCCGGATCAGCAAAGAGCTGGATTGGTTTGTGCCTGCATTTTAGTTCTTCTGGACCAATTCTTAAATTACAAACCAACTTTCACAAGTATTTCTGTGAGAGATGAAAACTCCAGGGGGAGAGCTGTTGAGTTTAGCCCTCTTCTTGTGGCTGAGTCAGGGGTTTCCAAACTGAGGGACCCCAGTCTCATCAGGTGGAGCCCTTCTTGAGAAGAGCAGGCCAGAGGCAGCCTATGGGTTCTGCCAAAACCACTGTGCATTGCACACACTTTTGGTAAAGGTGATATGTGTGTAGGCTCTGTGTTCTTGTTATCCTTCCCTTAGCAATGCAGGGCAACAACAATTTACCCAGCATTTATGTTGTGTAGGTGTTAGAGTCATCGAGAGATGATAACACACGCACAGGAGAATGTGTGTAGGTGTCTGCAGAAACTGCTGTTTTGTATAAAGGACTTGGTTATTTGGGTATCTTTGCGGGTCCTGGTGCCAGTCCCCTGGGGAAACTGAGAGATGACTGGAGATGATCATGAGGCCGTTTGGTGTTTTCCAGGAAGACAGCGATCCTCCAATCAGTGAGAGCTTGAGCATCGAGAACGCTCTGTGGGCGGGCACCATCATCGCGTCAGGTGAGGCCCTGGGGGATGTGTTACCAGCTGGAGAAGGAAAGGACTCCTTTTGTGATCAGTGTAATATTCATTGTCGGTGGTGTTTCCCCACTGCTCTGGCCCTCCAGGGAATTCAGTTGATGTCTTAAGTGAGCCTGGGATGCTCTCAGACTTACAGAGGCCCCTGTGGCCTGTGGATGTTCTGCACAGTCCATGCTGGGAGAGTCCTTAATTGCCACTTCAGCTGACACTGTGGTCTCCAGCAGGAATAGGGGCATCACAGGTTCTGGCTGGAAGCTGTGTCTGTGCAGACCACTATCTCACAGGGACTTCCTCCTGGAGGTGGAGCAGGAGACAGCTGGACCCGGAAAAGCTAAGCCTCTGTGTGTAAAATGCCCTGTGTCGAGTGTTGGGGGACACTGAGCAGAAGGGAGCCAAGGGCCAAGCGTGGTTTGCAGAGCAGTGTATACAGGTGGTGTGCACCCTGTGTGTTAGGTGCATGGTTTACTTCCTCCTTCTACAGCACCGACAGCAGGAAAGAGTCCACATTTTGTACAAGGGGGACCTGAGGCTTAGAGGTCAGGTAACTTGTTCAGGGCCACAGTGGGTAAATGGCAGAGCTGGGAATGGAACACAGGCACTTCGCTCAGAGCAGACTGGTGGTGCAGCTGTAGAGCTATAGTGACACAATTCTGTTGCCTTGTAATTCCATTGCTGGCAACTTTCTGCCTTTACTTGGTGGACTCAGTTTTTTTCCCCTCTCAATCATGATAATTCCCTTCTTCCCACTCCTTACTCTTTCCTCTCTTGATGCTTCTTTGTGTCTCTGTAGTACAGTGAACCCCAATCAGATGTCTGTGACCAGGAGAGGGGAACAACACACACAGGATACCCATGTGGCCATGCCCAGCCCTGTGCAGTTTCAGTGTTCAGTGAGAATGGGGAGATTCGCTCCCTATGGGGCTCTTTGGTCACCTTTCTTTCCCATGTTGGTTGTGTTTGTGTTGGAATGTGTAACAATCTCAGTGTTCCTGTTGGCTAAAGAAGTGGGAAATGGTCCCAAAGATTCTGCATGGCCATACCAGGGCTCCCTGACCTGGCATGTCTGCCCGGGGGTACAACGGCGTCTCGGTGTACAGTGGCCACTGAGGGTGTGCAGTGACCTCCCAGGTATGCAGTGGCCACCCAGGACTGGCAGCAGCCTGTTCCAGTCCCCATCCCCTGCCTCAAAGCCACCCACATTTATAGAAGAAAGACTATCAAACTGTCAAACTGGTACTTGTCATAGGTTATAATTTTTTTTGTCAGTTTACTGTTTATTTTTTGTTTTTGTCCATTTTTTTTTTGTTTATTTGCTTTTTTACCGTATAAAACTTCTCTCTCTCTCTCTCTCTCCTTTTTTTTTTTTTTTAGCAGTATTGGGGTTTGGACTCAGGCCGTGTACTTGCTAAGCAGGTACTCTGTCACTTGAGCCACTTTGCCAGCCCTAGAAGTTCTCAATTTTTATAGTCGGCATTTTCATAGAAATGGGATAACTAGGTCAAAGGGATATACATTTCTCTCTCTCTCTCTCTCTCTCTCTCTCTCTCTCTCTCCCTCCTCCTCCTCCCTCTCCCTCTCCCTCTTTCCCTCCTCTCTCTTTTTTGGTGATGTTGGGGATAAAACTTAGGACCTTGCACATGCTAGAGAAGTGTTCTACCACTAAGCTACCCTCCAGTCCTTTTATGTTTAAATTTATTTTGACGCATCTTGTCCCTAAGTAGCCCAGCCTCAGATTCCTAAGTGCTGGGATTATAGGTGTGTACTTCCATGCCTGGCCCATTCACATTCTTTTTTTTTTTTTTTTTTTTCACGGCACTGGAGTTTGAGCTCAGGGGCTCAGGGCTTTGCACTGGCTAGGCTGCACCCTGCTGCTGAAGCACGTCTCTAGCCTTCACACTCTTGATAATCTCTGTGTACCCTCATACCAGCACCAGGTTCTGTCTGACGTTTACATTTTCACCCATGTGGTTGAATTAAATAAATTCAGCATGTTGATTTACTTTTGATAAATAGTGAACTTGAACACCTTCCTTCATGTTGACTATTAAATATGTATAAATTGCTACTTTGCATCCGTGCCTATTTTTCTGTTCGTGTGCTTGTTTTTAAAAAGTTATCTGCAGAACTCTTTATGTCATGAAAACATCGTCCTTGTGTTTGCTTGTTCTTGTTCAGGGAAGCAGTGATCCGACCCTCCCACAGTAGTGCCTGCCGGGCCCAGTGAGTATGAGGAGTGGGGCATCTCCCATGTCCTAATTGGCTTCGGTTTCCCTGGGTTTCACTGAGTAGACATGTAACTGTATTTGGGTTCTGACGCAAACATGGAGTTTCCTTCTGGTGCTCAAGAAACTGTCTGTGTGAGCACTCTCAATTCTGTGACTTCCTTTTGCATTCCCCGTAGAATCCAGCCCCACCTCTTGCTCTTAAAAAGTAAGGAAACTTGTCAGTCGTGTGGAAGGTCTGGCTGCCTCGCAGGCATCCATTTATAAAGGATGTGGTTACCATGGCAATCCATCACATACTGTGAGTTGAGTCATCACTGGGATGGTGAGGGGAGATGGGCTGGAGACGCAGGGCTGGAGACCCACAGAGCCCAGGCTTCTCGCTCTGTTCTCCGATTCTCCGTGAGCTGTGTCCTCTGCACCACACCAGGAGGTAGCAATGTCTGGTTTTACAAACATTCCTGAGCACTCCCTCTCTGGTGCAACACAGATCTTGCAGGTGAGGAATAAAGGGTCACAGAATAACACCAAGTCCAGGCAGGACCACACTGTTTGGAATGCTAATGAGAGTTTGGGGAAATGCCTGACCTCAACCACCTGGCTCACTGGAGAAGCCAGAAGAGGGCTGGCTTGGAGGATCTGAGAGATCCCTTGGTCTGCAGGTGCAGGGAGCCAGAGGAAGGAGGACATTGAGAGCAGAGCAGGACTGGGAAGGGGACAAATAGGAAGGTGTCAGAGTTCAGGGATGGAGAGATTCATTGCGTCAAGAGCTACAAACTGAGCAAGGATCTTAAATGAGTGGGTGGGCCTGGGTAGGACCATGGCGAGCTGAGATTGCGCCCGGCTACAGAGGTGACCAGCATTTAGCACCAACTGGTCATGTCCTGAGCGATGTGGGCCTACTGTCACCAAATCTTCCACTTTTCCAGGAGAAGCCAGAGATCTTGATCTTTTTTATGAAGCTTCTTGAATAATAATAATTATTATTTTGCAATACTGAGTTAGAACTCAGGGCCTTACACTTGCTAGGCAGGCACTTTACCACTTGAGCGACTCCACCAGCCCCTTTTGCTTTAATGATTTTTCAGGTAACATCTGGTGTTTTTGCCCAGGACCTGCCTCAGACCACAGTCCTCCTGCCTATAGCCTCCCGAGTGGCTGGGTTGACAGGTGCACACCACCGTGCTCCAGCTTGTTGATTGAGATGCAGGTCTTACTAACTTTTTGCCTACTCTAGCCTCGATCCTCCCAGTCTCTCCCTCCCTAGTAACTGGGATTATAGGCATGAGCCACCTTGGCCAGCAAAGCTTCCTGAATTTAAAAGTTGATAGGCCTGGCCTGGCCTGGCTTGGGTGGTGTGGGGAACGTACCCTTTAGGGCGGCTTTTGCTATCAGGACCCTCTTTCACCCAGGGCATTGTGGGGATTCAAGGAGGTGAGCTGCATGTGCACAGAGTGGGTGGACAGGCTGTGTGTCCACCCCAAGCCCAGCCCAGGCTCAGCTCCTACTGTCTGACCATCTGTTCTGGCACTGGGCTTAAGGGCGGGATGCTCCATTGTCAGGAGCCTGCCATCTGCTAAGGAATGCACAGCTCTCCTGGCTGCCATCTGCTGACCCTCTGGGGTAGGACCTCATTATATAAGAGGACATCACTGGCCTGGCCAAGCCTGTTAAAATCCGGAGGGACTCGGTGTCGCTTCCTCTCGAGGGCTTTTTCTAAAGACAGCCGCAGCACTGCATTGGGGGTTGGGTTTTCCTAATGTGATGCCTTGGAACCGCTTTGCATCTTCTTGTCCCCCTCCAGCAGTGGTGGTCCTGAGAATGAGGGGAGAGGGAAAGAAGGGCAAGAGTTCTTTTTCCAGTGGAGACCTCATTGTTGTGTACCTAGGGTCTTCCATGAGAGTCCTGCGGGGCTTAGTCCCTTCTCAAGGTCAGGTTTCAGCTCAGATGCCCTCCACTCTGGCAGCTTCTCTGACTGCCCAGTGCACACCCTCCCCTCCTCTCCCTTGCTTGCCCCGCCGGTCATTGCTTGGCTTCCGTCTTTGTTGTCTCTTCACTGAATCATGCATTCTCTTGGTACCCCTGGAGGGAGAGGCAGGTATGTTTTGACAGATGTTGCCAAATTCCCGCCCCCCTCCAAAATAGTGCCAATTTACACTTCAGCCACCAGTGTGTTCAGCAGGATCCATTTTCCTGCCCCTGGGCAATTAATCTAATAGGGAAAGAAAAGGTTGATTTTTGCATTTCTTTGATTATTTACTAGGTTGAGCACCTTTTCTAATGTTAAGTATTTCTTCTATGAATTGTTTATTTTTAGAGGGATTGGTGCATTTCTGAGGTGCTGGAGGAGGGAGGAGAAAGAGGGTCTCCAGAAGGAGTTCCCATTTCCGACCTGGCCAAGCTAGACCCAGGTGGAAAGCAATCAGACTCACCGGGGAGGAAGTGCTTGTGAAAGTAGGGTGTGTTTCCATAACAATGCATGAAGGCAGGAATGTTCTAGGCACCTCTAGAAACCTCTAAGACTGGTGGCGGCATGGACAAGCCTGCTCCCCCAACTCTTCTGCCACTAGGGGCTACTGGACCCCACAGGCCAGCACTGCCCAGTAGAATTTTGCAGTCATGAGAGCTCTCTGTGACTTGGCTGTCCCATGAGGCAGCCTGCCACTCACCCCACGTAGCTGTTGAACCCTTGCAATGTGGCTGGTGAGAACAGGAGCTGTGACTTTGTTGATTTCAAATGAATCTAAGTTCAAGCATCTTCCTGTGGCCAGTGACACCATGCTGCCTTCATGACAGTTTCTCACATGCTCGTGCTGTGGCCGTCACTGGGTCCTCCAGAGCTGGTCACACGCTCTGCTTCCACGCCTGTCTCCCTCCATTAATGTTTTTTGGGTTTGGTTTTCCCATTTCAGGTACTGTTGTAGGTGTCGTTATTTACACTGGCAGAGAACTCCGGAGTGTCATGAATACCTCCAACCCCCGAAGCAAGGTATGTGAGAGGTCACAGTGCACACTGACCCCATGCACGCCGATGGTTGGTGTTGCAGGATGGTTTCCTCTAAAGTCAGCAGTGTGTATGAGTGCTATGTCTTCAGTCTTATCCACCCACCGTTACAACCATCCTGCAACTATGATGTCACTTCTTTCATGTTTTAGCCTATTTTGGGCCACATTTCTATGAAGTTATGGAGTCACTATGTAGGGTGTAGGAGCTGTGCACAGCACAGGTCAATGCAACAGTCACTTGCTTGGGTTTTCAAGTCCGAATCTTCAGTGTTAAGAAAAAGTTGAGCTGGGGCAAGGCCCTTGGTAGAGCGCCTGCCTAGTAAGCAGGAGACCTTGAGTTCAAACTCCAGTGGCTGCCAAAAAAAAAGAAAAAAGAATTGAAATCAGGGCCCTTTGAGGTCCCTGGCATTTTGCTGGGAGCTTAGCCCACGGAGCCCCATGTTCATAAATCGAAGCTATAAGAGTGGACATCCCTGACCTCTGCCTGCCATTCTGGGTAGACGTCACGGCGGGAGTGGGGGGGTGGAGAACGAGCTCTCATGCAGGCTTCGGTAGCCCCAGACACTTCTGCACTTTGTCTGCAGATCGGCCTGTTTGATCTGGAAGTGAACTGCCTGACCAAGATCCTCTTTGGCGCATTGGTGGTGGTCTCGCTGGTCATGGTGGCCCTTCAGCACTTTGCTGGCCGCTGGTATCTGCAGATCATTCGCTTCCTCCTGCTGTTTTCCAACATCATTCCCATCAGGTAAGCAGGGAGGTGGTGTTTTCTGCTCTCTGCTCAGTCAAGGATCCTGGTTCTGGCTGGGGAGACACCTGTGGTAGAGTGTTTACTCAGCATAGGTAAGGCCCTAGGTTGATCCTCACCATCACAGGGAGGGAAAGAAGAAAAGACAGTTTCGAAGCCACGGTAGAGCACTTGCCTGGCCCTGAATTCAGTCCCCAGTACCACAAAAAACAAAACAAAACAAAAAAACACAGAAAGAAAGAAGAAAAATCAGAGCAGTGTGTAACAAAGAACTTTTCACATCACATCAGATTGACTTGTGCCCCATCCTTTCTTAGACTGGCTCTGTTATGTGTTCTAGGTTTAACAAGTCCCTATTGTTGGACACTTGTGTCTACTTTTCCCCTTAATAAATGACTAGTAAATATTTATTAAACTAAATATCATTTTTTCTGAAACTTCCAATGCTTACAATCTCCCTTTTACACTTGATAACATTATCTTCCATTGTCTTGCTGTTCTGCAGGTTAGAAATCATCTTTTTCTAAGGATAGAAAGCAAATGTGAGCAATGCAGGGAGACTGTGCCCTAACCAGCATGTTCTAGGTGATGGTCTCAGGGATAAATAGTCCATTTAATTACCAGAAAAAAATCTAACTGAAATCTCAGACTTTAAAGTTGTGTCTGTAGCATGATGAAAATGAGTGAACTGAATCTTTAGTGACTCAGGGTTAGTCATACAGTGGTAAGTTTATGGGATCAGGAATTAATTTGAAGCTTTCTGTTCATTTTTTTTTTTGCAATAAATTTGTATTTGAACGAGTAGCTCATATACAGTGGAGTATTATTCAACCTTAAAAAGGAGGGCACTTCTGACACATCCTAAGATGTGGGTCAGCCTTTAGAACACCGTGCTCCTCATGAGTTAAGCCAGACACAAAAGGAGGTGCCCAGAGCAGTGAGGTTCCTAGGAACATGAATGGAACCGTGGTGCCAGGGCTGTGGGGACTGAGGGTGGGGTGGGGAGTTACTGTTTAGTAAGGAGATTCAGTTTGGGAGGACAAAGAAAGTCCTGGTGGTGGATGGTAATGACGGTCTTGTAACAGTGTCAATGTACTTAGCACCAAACTATGCATTTAAAATGGCTAAGATGGAGCCAGTCATGATAGCGCATGTCTGTCATCCAGTGCTCACTCCTGCAGGATTGTGAGTTCAAGGCCAGCCTGGGCTATGTGGTGAGACCTTGTTTCAAAAACAAACAAAATGGCTCAAATGACAAATTTGATGTTATGTATAATTTACCATTTAAACATGAATATCATGTCAAGAATTGAGACCGGTAATTAAAAAGAAACTGGCTGAAACAGGTGTCCTTCCTATGCTTTAAGCAATGCAGGTCCGGGTAGAGCAGCTTCAAGGAGGCCACGCTGTGTTTACCTGGCCCTCTGATGGAGGTGCTGACTCCTGCATCTGTGGCCTCAGCCCTAACAGATGCTCTGTGGGGAGTGAGTCCACCTGCTGTCGTGGCACAAATGTATTTAGGGTTCATGTTGTTTATGGAGGAGAGTCAGATGGGGCCCTGTTAACATGTGTCCTGTTAATTTGTTCTCTCCGGCTTTCTCCCTAGTTTGCGTGTGAACCTGGATATGGGCAAGATTGTGTACAGCTGGGTGATTCGCAGAGATTCCAAAATCCCGGGAACCGTGGTCCGCTCCAGCACGATTCCCGAGCAGCTGGGGAGGATTTCTTACTTACTCACAGACAAGACAGGTGAGGGCTTCCTGGGCCTGCACAGGATTCTGGTGAGCAGAGATTGTGGGCTCTCTCTTTGGAGGTGGGAGAGAGGAATGGTGCTACTGCTCTCCTGTCCTCCCCGGTGGACGAGAAGTGGACGGGTTGGGCATGGCATCAGTCCCTTCTGTAGGACTAGTTATGTGCAAGACACCGTGCTGCATGCTTACTAATAGTCACTCAGCTAATTCCCATGCCAGTCTTGTGAGTTGGGAGGGATTTTAGAGATGAGGAAAGGGGGCACAGAGAGGTGATGTGCTTTTATCATAGGTCCAGAATGGCTGAATCTGGCACTGAACCTAGGTGGTCTGGCCACGAGTCCTGATCTCACAAACATACTCTGACACTGCTCCCCATTTCGACATCTGTCAGGCAATGAGCTTATGGTAGCGGGGCAGAGCAAGGGTTGGGGGGTGGGAGAGCTGGGTCTAACCTGCTTCTCCTCCAGTTAGTGGCTGTAGGATAGCAGGGGAAAAGATCCTGGGTGGCTCACCAAATCAGCAAAAACCAGGAGAGGAACCAGGAAAGTTCTGGACATGTCAGCCTCAGGCCCCTGGATGGTCTCTGGAGCTCTCTGCCATTGGGAGTTGACTCTACTTATCTTCCACCCATGTATCTTTCTGCTCAGGGGCCAGTCTTCAGCAACATAGAATCTGGTTGCCCTAATGTATGTCACATGCAATCCTCTTGGCCAATAGAACGGGTCAGGAACTCTGATTGACAGTCCCACTGGGCCACTCTGGAGAATGGATGTAGTTGTGTCCCCATGGCAACTTACAATTCCATTTTCAAAAGGGTGTAGCATTCTTGGTAGAAAAATTCCCTCCCTCCTGTGTGGACTCTAGCAGAGGCAGTACCAAAGCCAGCGGGTGACACAGAATAAACTCCCAGAAGACAGCAAGTATCACTACTGTTAATAGGAACACATGCCTGGGAGCCAGCGTAGTTACTCACCTGTCTTGTATTGTAGGAACTCTGACGCAGAATGAGATGGTTTTCAAACGGCTGCACCTGGGCACTGTGGCCTATGGCCTGGATTCCATGGACGAAGTGCAGAGTCACATATTCAGCGTTTACACCCAGGTAAAGCCTTCTGCTGCAGTAACCCAGACAAGCCCTGAACATTTTTGACTTCTGTGTTGAGATTTAATTCACATTCCCATGCAGTTCACGTGTTTAGGATGTGCAACTTTGGTTTTCAGTATAGTCAAAGAGGAGCAATTTCATGTTCACCACCCCATAGGGAGACCCTGCCCCTTCAATAGCCACTCCATATTTCCCACTTTCCCATCCCTGAGCTCATGGTCACCTCCGTTCACATTTGGACTAACGTCGCAGTCAGAGTTCTGTCTTCCTCCTCTCCAGGGCCGTCTGCCCTCCTGAAGAGCATATGGACATTGGGGAAACCCCAACAGAAAATTACCAGAAAATTATCAGTAACTGGTGCTGGGATCTCTGAGGACCTGAATGGGATTTGTTTCAAGTGTATGAGCATCTTTGCTTTTCCTTCTCCCTGCCTCTTAGCCAGAGCTCCCATCATGGGTGGTCTCCTTGTGGTGATCATGACATTAACAAATTAGTTTCTCATCTGCATTCAAGTTGGCAATGGTGACAAAGAAATTTGTTTATCAGATACTTACAACTAACCTGCTCACACCTTTTTTGCCCCTTACAAAATTTTTCAAAACCAGTCACTTTTTTCAGAGAAAGCTATTATTGGTAAATGTCATAATATTCCTACAAAGTTGGACCTGTAGGTCCTCAAGTCACCTGACACTACCCAGAAGAATTGCTGGTGGTGTTTTGGAACAAAACAGGAGAAAGACAAAAGACATTTATTTGAGTTTAACACCCTAGAATTCTGATTCATTGAGACCGGGCAGGACCTAGGCTTCTGTGTTTTATTTTTTAAAAATTATTTTTTGGTGGGACTGGAGTTTGAACTTACGACTTCACACTTGCAAAGCAGGTGCTGTACCCCAAGTCATGCTTCCAGCCTATTTTGCTCTGGATATTTTGGAGATGGGGTTTTGTGAACTGTTTGCTATGGCTGGCCTCTAACTGTGATATTCCCAATCTCAGCCTCTCAAGTAGCTAGGATTATAGGTGTGAGCCACCGTAGCCCAGTGAGCTTCTGTGTTTTGTTTATTTACTTATTGTGGTATTGGGGTTTGAACTCAAGGCCTACACCTTGAGCCTCTCCACCAGCCCTGAGTCTTTTTGAGATAGGGTCTTATGAACTATTTGCCCAGGCTGGCTTTGAACCACAGTCCTCCTGATCTGCCTCCTGAGTAGCTAGAACTGTAGGCATAGAACCACTGGTGCCTGGCGCTTCTGCGTTTTAAAAGTAAAACAGACAAAACAACAAAGTCCCTGGTAATTGTAAAGCACACCCAGAGCAGAGATTGACATTAGAACAGCATTAGACAAGTGGTACTTGTTCAGAGAAAAACAGAATATTTCTTAAATTTGTCAAACTAGAAAATGATTCCGTAGTCAGAAGGCCAGTTAAAAATAGAGGAGGGCTGGGGGTGTGGCTCAACTGCCTACCAAGCACAAAGTTCCGGGTTCAATTCACAGTATCACCAAAAAAACCTTAAAAATGCAGAGGAAATAGCCCTGTACAAAGGCTAAAGGCAAAATCCCGAATCCTGTGTGAGGCAGTTATAACTGGCAATTTACGTTTGAATTTCCAGGCCTCCTTAAACACAGCAGCTTAGGGAGGTGTGGAGGTGAGTGTGGATTCATGTCCTCACCCATAGCCGGCATGAATCTTGTAATTCCTCTAGGCTCCATGGGGCGGCAGTGTGGCTGGTCTTCACGTGGATCTGGGGACCTTTTTCAAAGGTGTTCTTTAAGGCTATTAAAAAACAACTAGGTTTATCACTACACAGGGAGGACAAGCCACACAGACCCCATGTCCTTACCCTTTCTCTGTCTGACTGTCTTCCTGTATGTGGCGATTTGGTCTTGATATCTGCTGAGCTTAGTCATAGGTCCTGGTGGACCCCTTTCCCCAGCCCTGAGACACTGAAGGCTCCATCTCTCTTGAACACTGACCTACAGTTTTGGGTCATGTCCACCTTCATGATGGGGATTGCTGCTGTGGCTTCTACGGACAGTGGCTTCAGGCTACTACATGTGCTCCCTGTCCCTGACCTGCTCTTCTAGACATTCTCGTCTGGGGATATACCACCCCACTGCTCACCCAAGGGTTTAGGGAACCTCCCCACTTTCTCCATTTTTTCCTGCCTCCAGTCACTGCCTGTTCTGTGGGCTTTGTCTTCACTCAGTGGGGGCCTAGGCCTCCTGAATGCATTCTTCCTGTTTCTCTCCTTGCTCTCCTCAGTAGCACAGAGGACTCTGGGGCTGTCTGCCAGCCCATGGCTCAGCCTCTCCTGCCCTCTCCAGTGATTGTGGCAGTGTGCTCTGTCCTTTGTGTCTCAAGAGTAGACCTTTCCCTCTGTGTTGCCAACCCCAGGTGCTGCCCAGGCTTCTTCAGAAGCTCTGTTGCTTGCTTGGGATGAATGGTGAGCTTATCAACACCTGGCTAATTGTCTGGTTCCCAGGGCAGGGCGCTGACATAATGGTGATTATCTTAGCTTCATAGGCGGTGTGGACCCTGCCAAGACACATCCTGGCTCTGGGTGGTGTTTTTAAGAGCTTGTGGTATTGACAGAGCCATCCTGTTTCAGGATATTTGCCTGTTTCAGCTTTTATGGTTCATTTTTGGCTTAGCATAGATAATACTCTTTGAAAAGTGTTAAAAGTCGGACGTTTCTCGCCATGAACTCTACGCCATGCTCCCTCCTTAGCGGAAGCTCATAAATGATTTGTCGTCCTGGTTTTGAGTCTAAAACAGCTCCGGGTTGTGGGGGTTCAGTCTGCTGGAGCTGGGTGGGTTGACTGCACCTCACAGAGGTCAAACGAGTCTTCCTCTCAGATGTCACTACTAGGCTTTCACAATAAGACACATGAGGACTTTCCCACTTCTTCTAAAGCAGTTTTATTGAGGTATAATTTACACACAAAACGCCAAATTCAGTGATGCTTAGTAAATTCACAAAACTGTTGCACTGTCACAACCAGCCAGTCCTGGATGTGCTCGTTACACTTGTTCCCTGATCTTTAGAATCCTGACCTCAGCAGTGGGATTTTATGATAGTCTTTCTTAAAGTAAGGGCATTTTCAACCTCAGTCTGATCACCTGGACCAGTCAGAAGCCCTGGGAGTTATACCCAGACCTGCAGGGTTTTCTTTTCCTTTCTTTTCTTTTTTTTTTTTGGTACTGGGAATGGAATCCAGGCTTTCTGCACACTAGACAAACTCTGTACCACTGAGCTACATCCCCAGCCCTTGGTTATTTGAGACAGGGTCTCACTGTGTAGCCCAGGTTGGCCTCAAACTCAAGGTCCTCCTGTCTCCATCTCCAAGTGCTGGGATTACAGGTGTGAACCCCCATGCTGGCTCTGACCTGCAGTTTTAACAGGTGAACCAGGGGATTCCAAAGTACAGAACAGGTGCTATGAGCACAGTTGCTGTGAAGCCAGGCTCACAATTGCTTTTCAGAACACATCCTTCCGTGGGTCCAGTGTGTGAACCCTGAGGCAGAGTTTGCAAGATGGCCCACAAGGGCACCGGAAGACAAGATGCATTTCCTTCCCACCTCTGAGAGTCCTGCAAAACGGACATCTGACTACTAGCGCTGAGGTTGACCCAGGCTGTGTATCTCAGACAGGCACTTGTCAGGCCAGGTCCCAAAGAGTCTGGCAGAAGGGTGGAATTCTGTGTATTGTTTATTTTCACTGTGTCAAAGTGCAGGTTGAAGTTTATGGGCGTTCAGGTGACTGGTTTAAAGGATGTTATTTAAACGAATCTCATGAAGACAGCAGGTAGTGTTCAAGGATTCCAGAAAAAAAAAAAAAGATTATTAATACTAGGCCAAGCAAACAAGGAAAGAGCCATGCTTTGGGAGATAGAGCCCTAACAACTGAGGAGATGACTGGCTTATTTACTTACTTATTGCTACCCATTTAAACAATGGAGATAGAGTTAAAAATCTATAGCACCCACCCTTTGAAAAGTATATATCGCTACTGTCTAACTTGAGGTCATTTGTATCACCCAAAAGAAACCTCACATCATGGAGACCCTAAAGTCTCTTTCTTCATTCCCCTCGCTACTGGCAGCCACCAGTCTTCTTTCTGTCTCTGTGGAAGCAAATACTATGTCACCATTTGTGACTGGCCTCTTTCAGTTGGCAAATATTTTCAGGGTTCTTCAGGTTTATAGTGTGTATTGGGATTTCTCTTTATGGCTGGAGGGCAGATAGGATGATTTTTTTTCTTTTTCTTTTTTTTGAAATAGGGTCTGGCCAGGTAATCCAGGCTGGCTTCAAACTTGCAGTGTTCTTGCCTTAGCCTCCCAAGTGCTGGAATTACAGGCATGTACCACCATACCTGGCTTACATATGATTTGAAATTTAAATTTATGTCTATAGTTTTGTAGTGCCTAGTACCGAGTGTGTGTCATTCTGAGATTTTAGCCAATTATGAGAGAAACTGATTTTCATTTTTATCAAATCATTTTAGAATTCCATTTTTTGTTAGTATATAATGCACAGTAAGTGGTATGATGCAGTGTTGGTACAAGATAAATACACAGATACAGAGGAATACTCAAAAAGTTTTTCCCAATGTGTTATGTGATGAAATTATTTCAAGACAATCAGTGTATATTACTTAGAGTTTGTAATGTATTCTTTGGGGAACAGCACTGGGGTTTGAACTTATGACTTCACACTTGCAAAGCAGACATCTCTGCTTGAGCCACTCCTGCAGTCCATTTTGCTCTGCCTATTTTTGATTTGTTTTGGAGATGGGGTCTCGAGAACTACTTGCCCAGGCTCGATCCTCCCAATCTCAGCCTCCTAAGTAGCTAGGATTATATAGGCATGGATCACCTGTTCCCAGAAAGAAGACATTTTTTTCCTGTGCTGATATTTGAACTCAGGTCCTCATATTTGCTAGGCTTACGAGGCAGGCGCTCTATCACTTGAGCCACTCCACTGGCACCATGATTTTCTCATAATTCTTTTTAACTAGAGTTGAGCAGCAGAATTGCATGTCAGGTTTTTTTTTTTTTTTTTTTTTTTTAATAGATACATACACATGCTTGGGCCTACTGCATTCTTTGGGTATGGGCTCACGCATATGTAGTTTAAAAACTTTTGTTATTCTGAGAAGTATCTGGTTGAGAACCACAGAGAATAACACTACCCAACTCCCTTCTTCGGCTCATTTTTAATGGTTTTATAACTGGGGAAGGGAAAGTCAGGAACTCTTCTAACAAATTGAATGAGCTGTCTCCAAAATTGGTCATCAAGGTAAATCATATCTTCATGCAGTCTTTTAAAACCTCTAATGCACAACTTAATCCACGAGGAGCATAATACTGATAACTTAAAGGCAGGCAGGCAGGATCCAACTGTGTGTGAGCTCCAGGGGCCTCCCTCGTGTGCCCTGGTCCTGACCCTGGACCTTGTTGAGGGTTTGGTGTCAGGATTCTCACTGTTGGCATGTCGGCGTGTTGGCCTGGGTTGTTCTTTGTCATGAGGGCCTATCCTGTGCCTTGTAGGATGTTCACTGGTTTCCCAGGCCTCTGCCATCTGCACCTGAGCACCAGGCTCTTGCAGCCAAAGGTATCTGCATGTGTTACCGAATGAGAGCCAAACATCCAAGTTGAGCATCTTTGTGCTATATGCATGAATTGAAATTTGTTGTCTTTACCATACTCCCTGCTGTCACTACTAAATAGCCTGTAATGTGGTTGGTGGCCTGTGAAGTTAGTGAGTCATCAGCTTTGAGCTTTTGGTGGGGGATGGGCTGTCATAAGAGGAATTTCTTGTCTTCAGTAGTGCCTCTACCAACTGGAAGCCCTTTCATGATGTCTGTTAATATTATGACTGTCCACACATACCATTTAGAAGGAAAATTGAGTCTCTTAGTTTTTTGTTTTTTTTTTTTTTTTTTTGGTGGTACTGGAGTTTGAACTCAGGGCCTCTTGCTTGCTAAGCAGGAGCTCTACCACTTGAGCCACTCTACCAGTCCAGAAAATTGATTCTCAATGACTCAACATTTAACTTGCATATTAATCCTTCCCGTAACACAGCCTGGGGTTCTTGTCGGGAAGTGGCCCTGCCATGGGTCACTAATGAGAAATGGAAGCCTATCTTTTAGAGTCTGGGGGGTCTCATCTGGTGCTGGAGAATCCACTCTGCAGCATTCCATGGTGTGAAGTGCCCAGAGTGGCAAGGCTGTCCTTTGCACGTGGCTATCCTCATTTCCCTCCCCGCACCCACTTGCTTGGTTGATGGCATCCCGACTTAACTCACGCAGTGCTCCTCTGCCTCCTCCCTCCATCCCAGGGCCATGAGTGACCTCCAGGGCAAAAAGAGCCATGGCGTGCCTCTGCAGACACATCTGTTTTTGTTTTCCCCTGGTATTTTTTAAGTAGGAAGAAATGCGTGTAGGTTAAAGGCCTGTGGTGGGAGGTTGGCGATACACCATGTGGTGGGAGCCCTTCCGTATGGAGAGTGTGTGGCTGGGTGTTCCAAGGTGCCTTCAGCCTCTGCGCAGTATCGGAACCATCCCCCTGTGCTCAGATTACTACTCCGGCTGTGAGTCAGCTGTAGTGTTGACAATTAAAAGACACTTTCAGCACCCAGTTGTTCCTTCTCCTTCCTGAACTACCTCAATGGGAAAGTGGAGTAGACATTAATTTAACAGGAAAGTAAAGGAATTGTGGTGACATTAAAGCCATTGCCAGCAATCATCCCTGCCTCTGACTTGCTGCCTGTCATTTGAAAGTGAGGCTTTTGGGAAAGTCTAACTGTCTGTGGTTCTCTCTTTGCTGTGCTTGGCAGTTAGCTCACCTGTTTGGCCCCCGGTTGAAATAGTAGCCGAAGAACTGGCTTTCATGGACATGGTGTCCCATCGTGTGCATATCCAGGGCTGGTGCAGGGAGCCCTCAGCCCAGCTTGCCCTCCAGCCCGCTGCTCCGCAAACTCACCTTTAGTTGTTTTGCCAAAGTCTCGTCATGGCCTCTGATCTTAAACAATGATGTGACCCATGTGGGTGAATGTGGGTGTAACTTCGTGACATAAATCCCAGACCGGTACAAAAGGAGTCTTGGTTTTGTCTTCTCTGCAAGCTGCTGTATAATTTTAAACTGAAATTCTTCATAATTAAAAGCACTTGTCAAATAACGATTCATTTAAGCCAGAGTTCTGATTCTTTAATTATTGTTACCATGCAGTGCCCTTTGGCCTGGAAGTGAAACTCGTGTGCTCTTGACACCAGAGGTTAACAGAGCAGGAAGCCAGAGCACTGCGTCCCCACGGTGACCAGAACGATTTAGTAATTGTCTAATTACCTGAGGGGCCTAATGCCACTACTAAAAATAGTATTGAAAAAATGAAATGAAAGTCATTTTCTTGTTTCTCGTAGCCCATCTGTTCTCTATTTGAGGCAGGCATGCATCATGGGCATGACTGCCATTCATCTTGTATGGTCCCGTGGCTTCTCTTCTGCTGGAAGAGTGTGTTCTTAACGGAGTGCAGAGCCCGTAACTCCACAGCCGTTTCCAGCTTCCAAGATTCTAACTGTTGCAGGCGATCCTTTGTCTAAAACAGTGATTTAAAATCTGGAACTGACCTTGGGCAATTTAATATTTATTTCTTCTTGGAAATGGAAATAAGTTCATGCCAATGGAGAACTCCCGTGGTCACCTCAGGAACGTTAAGTTTTTAATTTGTTCACTTATTCAGCATGCCAGGCTTTGCCCTGGGTACTGGGAACACGGGCAAAGGACTCACACAGAGAAGCTCCTGTCTAACGGGAGGGAAGGCCACCAGGTGAACCAGACAGTTTTAGGCAGGGAAGACAAGGCACAGGGTGATGTGCACGCATGACTGGCAAGGGGGCAAGTGGAGCAGCATGGAGTGAGGGGGGATCCTAGAGCCCCTCTTGGATGAAGTAACCTTCAAATTCAGACTTGAGCTGAGCAAGCCAGCTCTGTAGAGGTCTGAGGGATGGGGTTCCAGGCAGAGGACGCAGTGGGTACAAAGGCTCTGGAGGCTGGAAGAAGCGAGGACAGAATGAACGAGAGAGGAGAGACGTGGGGGAAGCTGGGGAGGTGGGTGTCTCTGATCTGGTGGGCTCTGTGAGCTAATGGATGACACCTCCTGGATTTCACTGAATACTGAGCTGTAGACTGGTAACAAGTAGTTTTTTTCCCTCTTGTGGTCTTAATTTTTTTTTTCCTTATGCTCTGGATCGACCCCAGGGCTTTGCACAGGCAAAGCAGGTGCTTTTACCACTGTGCTATACCTCTAGCCTCTTAAATTTTATTATTATTATTATTATATTCAAAAGCAATGGAACCCTTTCCTCAAAGGCAGGCCTGGACAGCACTTGATATGTGATGTGGGTCAGAAATAGCTGCTCACTGCCCTCCACACCTCCTGGTGCTCAGTGGCCTCTCAGGAGTCCTGGGTCTTGGTGTGGAGCCAGGGTTGAGACATAGCCCTTGAGCCCACTTTGATCATCTTCAGGAAGCCGAGTCTTGGGGAGCCTCCAAGAGCAAAGCTCAGGGGCTGGCCCAGTGGTATATGCCTTTAATTCCAGCCTACAGTTCCAGCTCTTCAGGAGGCATAGGTAGGAGCATCTTGGTTCAAGGCCAGGGTAGGCAAAAATGTGATGTCTTATATGAAAACTAAAGCAAAAAAACTGGGGGGGAAGGGAGAGGGCGGGCTCAAGTAGTAGAACACCTGCCTAGTAAGCACGAGGCCCTGAATTCAAACCTAGTACTGCCCAAATTAAATAATGACTGTAAGGCTCAAAGTTTCTGATCCCCAGTGTGTTTGTCACCATGTTGCTTGAAACCATTTTCCCCAAGACCTAGCCCATTTTCTGGCTCTTCTGAGGCTCAGTTGTGTGTGAGGAGCATGAAGGAAGGGATGGGGGAGTGCTGGGTACACACAGAGTTGCTTCTCAGGCAAGGACCAGTGTCTGATTTTTGCCAGGGCACAGATGGAGCAGAGTTAAAATTACTCTTGAAGCAGTGCTCAGGTGTCGGTGGCCCCTGGATGGATTGTTCCATAAGTTCCTCCTGTCCAGCTGTCTTCTGTTCATTAATGACACACCTTGCCAGATTCCATAGGGCAGTGGTTGAAGTGATTACTTTCAGTTGAAAATCAAGAAGAATTCACGTGTAAAACAGTGGGACGAACCAGGATGATTTGGGCTCCTGCAGGGCAGACGTTTGGTGACACCTGAAGATATTTATGGTTTCTTGTCACAGTGAAGGATACTGTTATATGTCCTACAGGCACTGGATACCCCACAACCAAGATCCAGTCACCAGATATCAGTTAGTGCCAGGTAGAGGAGCTTTGTGCTAAACCCCCAGGACCCCATGCAGGGCAGTGGGGACCTCACTGTGACTTTCTGACAACCTTGAGACAGACTCATGCTGTCCATGGACAGAATCTCCCCCGTTCCTTAAATTGTAGTTTTCCTCTTTGTTTCGTTTTGTTTTGTTTTTTTGCAAATGTAAGCAGAACCCTGGAATCACATGTGATTTACTGCAGCATCCCTGTGGATAGCGCACACGTGCGTGTGTCGGAATGGGGAAGAAGGGTGGCTGTAGCCAAGTGTGGTTATCCCACACTTTCCAGGCCTCCCTCTCTCTGCTCATGGTCCTTTTTCTGCTCTCCTTCCCCTAGCAATCCCAGGAGCCACCAGCTCAGAAGGGTCCCACAGTCACCACCAAGGTCCGGCGGACGATGAGCAGCCGAGTGCATGAAGCTGTGAAGGCCATTGCTCTCTGCCACAACGTGACCCCGGTGTACGAGTCCGATGGCGTGACAGACCAGGCCGAGGCTGAAAAGCAGTACGAGGATTCCTGCCGCGTGTACCAGGCCTCCAGCCCAGACGAGGTAACCTGGGCAGGGGCATGGTGACAGGGCTGTGGCCTTCGTCTGCGGACGGCAGTGGAGTTCAGACACACTTCTGTTTCTTTGTCTGTCAGTATTTGAGAATTTGTCATTCCTGTTTCCTTCCCTCCTTCCCAGAAAACTTGGATTCTGATTATAGAAGCAATTTTTATTCAGTGTAGGAAATCAGAATCTCTCCAAAAATATAAAGAGGAAAATGAGTCAGTTGCAGCCACAGGACAGCCACTCTGTGGGCACTTGTGGCATCTGGCCATGTCTGGAGTGGCTCTGGGGGTGACCTCATTTCATCTTCCCAGTGTCCAAAAAGGCTTGTTGTCATCCTCACTTCAGAAGAGGAAAGACAAGGGTAGAGGGCTCAGTTATGTATTTTGGAGTTGCTGGGTTTTCTTTCTTTGTTTTTGTTTTGGGGGTGTCGTTTCTTGGAGACATGGTCTCACTATGTAGCATGTAACCCAGGAGCTGGGATTATAGGTGTAAGTCACTGTGCCTGACTGGTTTTCTTTTTTTAAAGCTTTTTAATTGTGAAATACTTTCAGACTTAGGAAAGTTTATAAAATCAGTATAAAGGCATGACCCTTTTCCTACACTCACTCACTGTTCTTTCTCAGGGTTCCCTGTCTGAGATGAAGAACCAGCTGTAGACTTGATCCTTTTTCCCCCTCACAAACAAGGGTGCTCATCAGAGTCAGGATTCCTAACCTTGATCCAGTAGATTACCTAACACAGATCTTGTCCAAATTTCGCCACTGCCCCACTAACTGGCTTGGATGAGTATTTAAGTCTGAACTCAGGGCCCTATGCTTGTGAGGCAGGAGCTCTAGAACGAGAGCCAAATCCCCAGCTCTTTTGTTTTTTAGTTATCATTCCCACTTGGTCTCAAGTTTTTGCCTGAGGCCAACCTTGGACCACAATCCTCCTACCTATGCCTCCCTTGTAGCTGGGATCACAAGCATGCAGCTCCACCTCGGCTTGCTGGTCAAGATAGGGTCTTGCTAACCCTTTGCCTGGGCTGGCCTTGAACCACAATCCTCCTGATCTCCCCATCCAGGGTAGCTGGGATTACAGGTAAAGGCCACCATGCCTGGCCACTAATTGGCTTTTTCAAATGAAAAAAAGTTTTCTTTGGATTAGGATCCAACATGTGTTTAGTTCTGTCTTAGTTCTGGACTTGGAACCATTATTTGACTTTCCTTGGCTCTGTGACCTTGACACTGAGAAGACTCCAGTCTTCTCAGTCTGTCTGACATTTTCTGCAATGTGGTCTCCAGGCCTTGCATTTTGAGGTCTGTCCTTCTGGTGCATGCTGTTGAGAGCAGCTGATGTGGGCAGATCCTGCTCTTGGTGATAGTAACGTTGATCACTTGGTAAGGTAGAGTCCACCTTCATGATAAAATTATCCTTGTCCCTTGTTAATCTTGTGATAGCAAGGGGTACAGGGCCAGGGTTTTAATCCAGGGAGTTTGTTGTTGGAGCCTGAAGTCACAAGAACATTTTGGTAAATACCCATCCAATATCTTTTCATATTATTTTAAAATGGGACTTTTAAAACACAGATATGCTGGGATTTGTTTGTTTTGAGATAGGGTCTCTCTTTGTAGCCCCAGCTGGCGTTGACATCTCAATCCTCCAGCCTTTGCTTCCCAAGTGCTGGGAGTGCAGGCATGTGCCAGCATGATACGGCGAGATGTGGTGAGACAGGGTTTTACAGTAGACACTTGGTGTCACAGCTGCATGCTTCCAAGGAGAGAGACCTCTGAGGAGGAAAAACTGCACCTGCTCAGGATACACAGAGTTCAGTGCTGTACTTTGGATGCTTGGTTCATTTTCCATGTAATGTAAAGACATGGTGTCTTTCATCCAGTCTCAGGTATCAGTCACCTTATCACTTCATGAAGCACATTCACTTTTACTTTGCTTTGGGGCCATTTGCTTTTGAGGAGGCAGATTCAGATTTTCACAAAATTAGGGGCAGGGAAATACTCAGCAGATCATGCACACACCTGATGGTATTGGGGAACTGACTGCAGGCTTCTCCAAAATGACTGAGCTGTGTAATGTGCATGCAGGAATTTTAAATGTTTGTTTCTGAATTATTTCTGATTTTTTTGCCATGCTTGCTTGAAACCCCATGTAGTAAATTGAAATGTAAGGCAGACTTACTGTACCACCTTTCTTGCTTAATATTTTGTCATATCTCTTTTCCAGTTTTCTTCCCTGTTATTAAAACAGTTTTGAGGATTGCTGCCTGTGTACCCTGATATCTTTAACTGTCCTGTTGCTGGAATTTTGGTTAGTCCTGATTTTTAGGACAGCAGTGTTTAAGTAAGTATTTTCAGTAAGCATCTCTACACTTAGCATTTCCAGAAATGGTGCAAGTGGACTCAGTAAGCAACAGGTATTTGTGTAGTGTAGGATGTCACATCGATGCTAAACCAGACAGCACCCCACGTCTCCAGGGGCCGGGTAAGTGAGACCCTCAGCACCAGTGTTTTGGGATCCCACCTCCATATCCAGTGACTTCTTCTCCTTGCTGTCCTCTGTGCACCTGGGACCTGGGACCCACCGTAGGGTTGTGGTGAGGCCCTTAGTAGGCAGGCAGTAAATCCTGGGGGTTCAGTTGAACCAGTATTTTTAAGGCTCACGTTATCAATTACCAGAGTGCTTCCAGAATTTTTTTGTGATACTGGGGTTTGAACTTGGCTTCATGATTATTAGTCAGGCACCCTACCACTTGAGCCACTCTGCCCCAAATTAAAAAGAAAAAAAAAAATTACGCTTCCACAGTGCTATAAGGGTTCCCAGTTCTTTTCTCACTTTGGAGGGGCCTGAAGTCTAGCTAAAGTGCCAGTGTCAGGCCGTTGTGTGGTCAGCAGGCAGGGAGATGGCACCATAAGTGCCTTTATGGAGCCCACAGAGGAGAGGACCTGGGCCATCTCCCTGCCTGTCCTTGCTCCCTCTCTGGGACAGTGAGTTGTCACTAGGGGACTCCTCCTTACAGGGTGCGTGGTATTTGTGGGAGGCTTGAGCCATACAGCCCAGTTCATACGTGAACAGTGACATTGGAACCATGATGCTTTTTAAATGTCTCTGGGCCCTGCCTTCTGAGCCGAGGGAGGGGGAGGGAGAGAGAGAGGGAGATTAGGGGATGGGGAGCAAAGAGCTGCTGCTGGGCTGCCTGAACTCACACCTCCTTAACCCAGAACCTTTCGCTTCTTCTGTGGCTCACCAAGCTCAGCCTGTTGCCTGTTGTTTTCCCTATGGGAGCTGGAGTAGGACACTGTGGGATTTCAGGTGCGAGGAAGGACCGCCACCTTGGTAGTTGCTAGTTGCGACTGGGAGCAGAAGAGAGCGGAGGTGTGACGGCATTCGAATTTGAGCAAGTTACAGATGCTGGTCATCCACCCACCATGCCTGCCCGAGGCTTCCAGAACTCCTCTGGCTCTGATACCATCTCTGGGTATCCTCAGCGCCGTCCCCATTCCTCTGTGCCTGCCAACCTTTGAGATGTTTGTTTCAGGGCTGTGCACAGATTTCCATGAGGGTGACTCTTTCATGGAGCGCTTGTGTGGCTGGGTTCTTTCCTCAGAGTGCAAGGGCTTGTCCATTCACTGTATTTAGACTCACATTTGGTTTGTTTTTATAAGATTCTGAATCATGATTGAAAAAAAACACAACAAAAAGTATTTTCCTTTGGCCTTTGGTGTCTTCCCAGAGGCCAGAGTTACCTTACTGATATTTTAAGAAAGAAAATTTGTTACCAGTGAGCCTTCTGAACTATTCCAGAAGACTCGTGCTGCAAAATACCCATGTGTTTGAAGAAATGCATCTCGTATAGAAGGAGGCTAAATCTAATTCAATCAAAACCTTTCAGAAAGCCGCACCACTGTTCCCGACCCGACCCCGCAGGGTCCCCATGGTACCTTTGAAATTCAATCTCCCTCCATCCTGCGGGTCGCCAGGTTGTGGCATGCACACAGAAGCCCTATTCCTCCTACTCTGGAGCTGCCGGGTTAATTTCCACCCGGCGGCGTTGGGTTCATTTCCTGCAACAGAAGGCAGGATTTCCTAAACTTGTTTCCTGCATGCATTCTGCTCTGGAAGTCTTGAAGTGTCCTTACTCAGCTATGGATTATAGACCGTGGGCCGCTGGGCACTCCCTGCCAGGGAAGTGAAGCCCACCCATCCTTTCTAGGAGGCAGGGTAGCATTCAGGGTATGGAGTGTGTGTGTGGGGGGTGGGGATAGCCAAACTTCTAAAACACTATTTCTTGGTGGGCAAGGTCAAGGGGTGCTGTTCTTCAAGCAGCTGAAACCAACCCTGTGACTCACAGAACCTGCTTTTTATTTGTTTGGTTTTTCTGTGTGGTGTGGGGGATGATCTCAGGGCCTTGTGCACGCTGGGCAAGTGGTGTACCAGCACCAGTCCTTGGTTGGTTTTTTTGTTTTTTTTTTTTTTCATTTGAACTCTGAGTCTCTTTGCTTCTTTTATTTATTTATTTTTTAAGTATTCATATGTGCATACAATGCTTGGGTAATTTCTCCCCCCTGCCCCCTCCTTACCACCTACCCCACCCCCTCCCTCTTCCCACCACCCCCTCGATACCCGGCAGAAACTATTTTGCCCTTATCTCTAATTTTGTTGAAGAGAGAGTATAAGCCATAATAGGAAGGAACAAGGGTTTTTGCTAGTTGAGATAAGGATAGCTGTACAGGGAGATGACTTGCATTGATTTCCTGTGCATGTGTGTTACCTTCTAGGTTAATTCTTCTTGATCTACCCTTTTCTCTAGTTCCTGGTCCCCTCCTTGGTTGGTTTTTTATAGACAGGGTCTTGCTATATAACTCAGGCTGCCCTCAAACTCACTAGCCTCGCTAGTGCTGAGATTATAGGTATGCTCCGTCGTGCCTGGCTCTGTTTTAAGTGTTTACAATCATGAAGTCTTTACTACAGAAAAAGGAGCAGTTATAGATTTCAGAAGAAGT